TTAGCGCCTTGGGAATTGACCCTGAAACATCTATCACCCGATCCACATGCATAAATTTGTTCGGTATCGCAGAAAGCTTGATTTTTTTTCGAATGCGTTCAGCGCTCAGTGCCTGGCTGCTGCCGAGATGGTGTCCAAGTCCCCATCTGGCTGTTCACCGCAGTCACACGCCTCATGGAAACGCATGACGGTCCAAAACTCCGAGTGGGGCATGGTCATGGATCTTTTCTGAAACGCAATACATCTGCTGGATGTCTAAAATTCTAAAGGGTTCATGACCATCAACTATAGCTCCTTAGCCAGCATCTCTCATGTTGTCAAACTGACCCTGCAAAAAAGTGATTTGGCTGTGGGTCAAAATCCTGTACCCCTGGTGAACATCAAAATAGGTGGTACGTGGCTGTTCGTCCGCCCCAAAATGGAGCCATAGGTTATGACCCATGGGCATTCATGTTCACACAGGAGGGCAGTGCATGTCCGTCTTCGAGCTGACAGCAAACAGCGCAGCCTTCTCCTGCTGCAACACCTCCACGCAAGGTCCTACGGGGAGTCTCGCGCGTTTCTGGTCCTATCACGTGATCTGCAATGGCAACCCAGCAAACCCATGATTGATTGATACTTGGTTGACGTTGGAAGGGGAGCAACAAATTGAATTTTAGCAGTTAAGTGGGGATTTCAACCACTGAACCACAATAATCAAGCAAACATGTAAAATGTTTCCCAACAACAACCATGGATAGGAGGTCCCACAAAGACGGGATCCTTCAGCTTTGCCTCTCTTCAGCTTCTGCTTGCTTTGTGGTGCGGATTGATGATTTGCAGAAATGGAGACTTCTGTTAAAGTGCGTCACCCGCAAAAAACCGGCTCTCACCAATTGCTCTTTACACACAAACATCTGCACTCATCATTTAATTCCTCAAACTCAATTAAGCAATCCCCAAGTCCTGGTCGGTAAGCTTACCACGGTAATTCCGACTAATCATGGCCGTACGTCCGCTATAGAATGGGTTATAATCATGGTTATAATCATGGTTGCTAACCACTTACCTCACGTACCAAATCGTCCCTGTAAGTAGAACATGGTTTGGATGCATTTTTGGCGGTTCCCTCCTGAAGATGCCCGCTGTCGATGCTTTGTTGGTACATTTTAGTACTCTTCTCATACTCTACAGAAGAGACTATAGTTGTATCAATCATGAATGCGGAATATTGAAGTGAACATGATCATGAGTTTGTTACATGAGCCCGTAAGTCCGGACCATAGACCAATCAGGAAAACATGACTAAACCTCGAATATTCGAGACGAGCTGGGATTGACGAAACCCTATGAATACTAGTATAATTAAACCACCAACCCAGTTGGCGCGAAGCGGTTTTTGGCTTTCGCTTCCCTTTCTGCCAACCTGAAAAGGGTACCGAGCCACAAACAAGAACACAGCCCATATTATACATGAGTCATGACCCACATGCATTGTGTCCCTCGTGACGCTACTTTTTGGTGAGTGTACCCCATGTCATTTTATTCGCTATAGTACATGACACTAAACGTCGACCGTTGCTCACATGTTGCCCAGAGCCCCAATCGAGTCAATGCAAAAAGAGGCGTGTGGGAATTGCAGCGGCTTCTGTGGTACCAATGAAAGGCGTTCCAGAATCACCACTTGTCCATAAAATGAAGCAATGAAGGGCATTCCAACATGACCACTTGTCCATTACCTCCATTTGCTTCAGCCCTCTGGAAAAATAAAGAACAACATCCAACAAATCCAGTAGTGATAGATTCCCTTTAAAACCAACAGGGGAAAATCAAAACATACTCTTAAGCAACTGGAAGACACGGGCTTGTTCCACCGCCCCCCCGTGGAAACCAACCCCTTCCAACGAGCGAGTTGTGCCTCCATGGAGAGGCTCCAGCAGTTCCCGGGTGCGCACCGAGCGGTCGGAGCGGCCTGGCGACCGAAAGAAGGCGACATCTCACAGAGGGGCGACATATGGGTGTGGGTCAAAAATAGGTACCCAGAATGGAACGGTACATGGAAACAAATACTAAAACCTGTCGTCCCCTGGTGATTCAATGTTCGCCCACGCCCATATCGCCAGGTTACGTACGGTGGATGGCTGCGAAATCCATTTCGCACTACCTAAGAAACTCTGGAATGATGCATCCCCATACCAACCACTAGTGGTTTCCCATGGTTTAAATCCATTTCGCACCACTTGGAAACCATGGGAAACCAGAACGTTTATTGGCATTTATAGGGGAATCATCAGAAACCAGGTGTCCCCATAGGTGTCCCTTTTGGAAAATAGATGGCCCTGGTAGATGATTTACCAACCAGGTAAACCAGTGCCCTCTATTTTTTTAAAGCAAGCCAACCAAAAAAGGACACCAGCCTGGAACCCCCAAACGAAAAGCCTATTGGTCCCCTGGGTCTCGCTCTCTCGCTCTGGGCATGCGGCCGTGGCAATGTCCGGCGCAAGAACTCCAGTCCGACCATTCGCCCACGGCACAGGGGCACGGCTTTTCCTGAAGCGATCCCCCAACGGACTGGGTCAGCTCGCGAGGGCATCGTTTTGCTTTTGCTACTCCCTCTCTCTCGCTCTCTCCCTCCCCCCCCTACCCCTCTCCTTTCTGTTTCTCCCTTTCTCCCTTTCTGATATTGTAGGATTGGGATTGTAATTAGGCCTCTCTCTCTCTCTCTCTCTCTCTCTCTCTCTCTCTCTCTCTCTCTCTCTCTCTCTCCCTCTCCTCTCTCTCTCTCTCTCTCTCTCTCTCTCTCTCTCTCTCTCTCTCTCTCTCTCTCTCTCTCTCTCTCTCTCTCTCTCTCTCTCTCTCTCTCTCTCTCTCTCTCTCTCTCTCCATCCCTCCCGTTAAAATTGGTTGTTACTTTGCTTACAAGTGCAAGTGCTGTAGTGTTCAAACAAACAGTCAACCAATGTAGTCTGCAGCTGCCAACCTTTTGACTCATGCGGAGTAGTAAGCTCAAGGCCTGCGGTAGTGAACATACATGCAACAAGAGTGCAAAGTGAAGCATGTAGTTTGACACGGCCCCTCAGTTAAAAGGTCTTTGTAGTACCTTTTCAACTGAAGTGCAAAATGTGGATTGACAGTAGTGATGAAAACCATTGTTGTTCATCAATTCTACTGTATTGGCAAAAGTAGTGACCTGCGCTCAGTAGTTCACGCTGTTCAGGTTCCAGCTCGATGTAGGGCGCTGGACGGAAGTAGTGAAGGCAGGCACTCGTTGTAGTAGAGCAGGAGCTCAAAAGTGTAGTACCCAGTTCTGGGTGCGGTAGTCTTGGACCTTCTGTAGTCGACTGTCCAAGGTCGCGTAGTAGTTGGTGGTGAAAAAGTTTGTCATGTAGTTTGGAGCTCCCCGTAGTCGCTCATCGTCAATCTCGGGACACGACGTGTGTTGTTGGTAGTCCCGTAGAAAGCGGTGTAGTAGTGCTTTGTGGTGTTGTGTGAGGTTGGTCATTGTGAGTAGTGTGAATCCGTAGTATTGGATGCTTTTGCAGAGGATTGTAGTGATTGCTTTGTGTTGGTAGTCGTGGAGTTGGTCTCTGTTGTAGAGGTAGTGGAGTAGTTCAGGTAGTAGTAGTGGCATGTGGAAATTCCAAACGTAGTTGTTCCTGAGGCTGTAGTTGTCAGTGAAGGTGGCCATGTTGTAGTTCACCTTGAAGATGGTCTGTGGCAGTGTTGTAGTCGGGAGGTAGTAGTTGTGTTGTACCGACATCATGTAGGAGATGTAGTCCCTTGTGAAGTGTAGAAATTGTCCTGAAGTGAGGTACCTCAGGAGTAGTGGTTGTTCAATCTGGAGTTGGATGATGACGTAGTTGGTGTTGTCGCCAGTTGTAGTGTGGAGTGAAGTCGTGTGGTAGTAGTGGACGTTGGCTGCTTCAGGTAGTGAAATGCTGAGCAGTGTGGAATTGTAGTGTGGCGTCCGAAGATCTCCAGGGATGCAGTGAATGGGTCGTGTGTAGTCCAGTTGTGCCAGTGGAGTAGCTTGTTGTTGTGAGAGTAGTTGATACTCTTCAAGTGTAAATGCAGTGAAAAATTGCGTGTAGGGAATGTTGTTGGGCAGTGGTGGTGCAGTGGTTGTCTGGTGCTCAGTGATGTGTAGTTGGTCCATCACTGTGGTCGGGTTGTAGTAGACGGTGTTGCCAGGTGTAGAATGGTTGAAGTGGTAGTTGAAGTCGTTGTAGGTTTGAGGTGGTGGAGTTCCATGGTCACTGGAGTCTGTAGTGACCGCCACCTCTGGTGTAGACGCCCTGTCGGGTGTAGGCGCATCTCCCATCGTAGCATCTGCAGTAGATGGAGCGGCCATGGCTGCAGTGGAATGCAAAATGTAGTGAAACGGGGCAAAACAAATGAGCCTAAGTAGTTGCTACCAGGCAGTCGGCGAATGCAGACATGTAAAACAAACAACTGTAGTGTTGACTCAAGCCGCCAAAAGTGCAAGTGAAAGTACATGTAGTTACTGTTACTTACATACCAAAAGTGTCGTGTTACATGTAGCTACTTACATACATGAAATGTCCAAAGTCGTTGTTGTTGTTGTTGTGAAACTGCTGTGCTGGTCGTTCGTAGTGCTAGATGCGTATTCCAATGCTCTGGATGAGCCTGTGTAGTGTTTCTTTGCTGATGTATTTGGTAAACAAATCTGCGCTGTTGTGGAGTGTGTTGATCTTAAGGATTCTGATGATGTCGTGCTTGATGAGGTCTTGTGTGTAGAGGAATTTGAGGTCGATGTGTTTTGCTCGTTTGCTAGTGCCTTGTCGTGTAGCAATGCTCTTGCCTGCTGTGGAGTCTGTGTGGATGCGTAGGTTTAGCTTGCTGCAAATGTTGGTTTCAAGTAGGAAGTTTCTGAGGTGTAGTCCCTCATTAACTCCTGTGCAAATGGCGTAGAGTTCAGACTCTGCTGAGCTGAGTGCTATTGTAGCTTGTGT